ATAGAGGTTGAGCTTCATGCTCTTGAGAAGAAATCATAAAGGAATCTCCACCAAACCCTTTATGTATATGAGATGAGCTCGTACATGGAAGATCCTTCTGATCAAAGGAACCAGATTCATGGAATCCTGTTTGTGGCCATAGAACATATGATGTTTGAAGAGGAGTATTCTGATCCATCCACAGTGTTTGATGCTCTTGAGTATTGTTTTGATTTCCCTTGAGGAAGAGAATTTGCGATTGTCTTTGTGTACCCTCAGAAGTTATTGAAAAAGACCCCCTTGTCAAGGGTTGATATGATGTCAGACAGAATGTCATGATATCTTTGAAGATGTTAAAATTTGAAGGGCATTGTTTTTGAAGAGTTAAGGGAAACATATGCCTTTGAAAAGTCTGTATTTTTTAGTGTCATGCCTAGCAGAGTCTGTTCCAGAGACCTAATAGAGAGAATTTCCTCTATAGGTACATACAATGGCATTCATCATCCCAAAGTCAGACACGAGGTCTAAAGAAAATCTTATTGAGATGTGGCTCGTGCAATCCCCTGCATATGCTGGTAGTCTAATCCTGAAGATTGATCAGTTGTTGTTGGTTTGTTTCCTTGTGTTAACCCCCACAAGAGTTGATTATAAGTTACTATAGAAGTTACCCCCAGAACCATAGTAAGAATGGATAATGTTGTATCTGATGTCAGGATATCATCTCTAGGTGTGTGCTTCCTCTAAAAAGGAAGTTTTTGTGTAGATCATGAGGTGAGCATTGCTATTCACCAGTGAAGTTCAAAGTTTGAATGTTTGATCATGATGGAGCTGAAGACCAGTCTCTGACCAAGTCTAGAATGTTGAAAGGATCCTCTTGTGTTGAATGATGCAGATGAAGGATGTCAGTTCAAGTGCTCTAACATCTGCTGAAAAGGAGTATCATCTGTAGTTATGTGTGTGGGGAAGTATGATCTTGTGAATATGTTCATGTTACTAATGATAAAGACCTTGTCGGGAGTTGAGTACTTATCTAAGGTGGCTGTATCAACCTAAATGAGTTGCAGAAGATGTAATATTTTGTGATCTTCTCCTAAAAAGACTATCAAGATTAATAATCTCTTTGGTTGATAAATCAAGAACTGAATTATTGGGATCTGTGAAGAAAGGTTGATGTCCTAAATGATGTTGTAACATCATTTTTTCGTAAAGGAAGGTTTGGGATTATGATTATGGAAGATTGAAGATCAACATGGTTATTAAAAGAAAGAGTTTCGACTTTGTAGATTAGAAGATACAGATCCTGATCCTATCTTTAGTAGTATGCTTGGTGACTGCATAACTACTATGTTGAAGACTTCACTAGTACCAGCAATTGCTAGTAATTGTTAGAGCAGTGGAATATGAAAAAGGTGGTTTTCCTCTGCTGCAAGTATGTCAGCCTGGTGTGCTTAAAACAAGCTATTTGAGGGCTTGTGTTTGTCCAAGTATGTGTTCACGATATCTTGGTTATCCAAAGAGGTATGGATATTTGTGTAGTTATGTAGGGCCATGTATCAGACATAACCTTGTAAAAATATGAAGACCTGGAGTTGGTATATCAGATTTAGGATGAGTTATTTTCACAAGAGTGTGGATATGTTTCAGTGAGTGCATGAAGTCTCTTGTTTGTCTTCTGGTGTCCATGTGTTCATCCTTAGCAGAAGCCTTGTTTGTCCATGATAGGGGGAGCTTAGAACCTATCTAGGGTTATTGTTGTAGTAGTTATGGAGCTTGCGTGTAATTCAAGCTAGTGAAGATTACAGGCAACATGTTGTGACCTGTGGCTACTAGGTGTAGTTGTCTATGCCTCTGTTAGGTCTATGTGGTTCTAGTCAAGAGAAGCTAGTATACTCTATTTTCTCCAATGGTTGAGCTTAAGGACAAGTCACTGACCTAACCTGGAATGGTTGGCTGCCAAGATTGGATGTCTTATTGAAGATTCAACAAGTATCACAAGTGTGAAAAAGAAAGCTGCCAATTTTACCTAGTGTGAGAAGCTTACTACAGAATATAGTGAGAGAATATTTCGGTTGTATGGTTAATCTGAAGATGAGACCTTGTGAGATCCTTTTGTGAAAATGGGGAGTTTGTTAAAGGGCATGGATAAGTCCCTTGGATGATGATTCCAAAACTAAAGCAGATAAGTTCTATGGTAATGTTGTTGGTGTCTCAAATGATGTTCGAACATTATTTTTAATGGTAGTCTTTTAAAGATACTTGGAACTATGAATCTCAATGTTCAAATTCCACACTCATTAGTGGCAGTTCTGTTTATGTTATTGAATAAGGAGATTCTGATTGAAGGATAAGTATGCTCAAGTAATGCATAACTACTATTTTGGTTTGAAGACTTTACTAGTGTTAGCAAATACTAATAATGTGCAGAAGGAGGATTTAATCAACACATTGGTTAAAGGGTACTCCTTCTGTTGTAGATTCTGAATCTTAGTAAAGATTTTTAAGCACACTAAGAAATGGTTCGAAGTTGGTTTCAGAGTATGGTTGCATGACATTTTAGCCATCCAAAGAGTCATGATAATATGTGTGGAGGTGCAAGGGCATGAATCAGACGTGTACTTGTTATGTGACTAGTTCAGGGTGCTTGGAGTTATTCCCAGTGAACTAGTGGGTGTTTAGTGTTGTGTTTTCTCCATAATGAAGTTTTGATTGTCCATGACAGGAGGAGTCAGTGGACTAATTAGTTTGTTTGGACCTTGTGATGTTCAAGCATATAGAGTTATTGTGCTACAATGATGATGATGTTGGATAACATACTGAGACATGTTGCTACAAGATGTAGCTGTTTATATCCTTATGAGTCTCTGAAGACTCTAGCCAAATGTTGCTAGAGTATACCATCCTTCTCCAAGAGGATGTGTTGGTTCTGTGAGAATTTATTTTTCTCTAAAGCAGTGAATGGGATAAAGAAGACTATCCTGTTGATTGTTAGGAGATGTCACATCCTTTGCCAAGAGTATCAAGAAGAAGACTATGTATAGTCCCCCAAAGCCCTGGAGTAAAGCAGTTCCTCCCTCCAACAAAAGAAAAGTTAGACCTGATAGCTCCTCAGATTATGATGAGGATGATGTCCAGGACATCTCTCCTTTGAAGAAGTCTGCAAGCAAGAAGCTTTCTGTCAAGGTTCCTGATGCTCCTCTTGACAACATTCCTTTTCATTCTGTTGGCAATGCTGAAAACTGAAAATATGTCTTCAAAAGAAGGATTGATCTTGAAAAAGAGTTGGGAGCAGGTGCATTGGAGTGCAAAGTGTTAGAACAAAGTTTGAATCTACTACCCTATATTTGAGTTTTGATGATAACTGTAGCGGTGAAAATCGGAGATCAAGCTATTAATTAACTTGACTCACAAAAGCAAGAGTCGCCACCGCGCTTTATTATTTCCAAGGGAAAAGGGAAAAGAGCGAAATAAAACCCTAAAATATGCAATGTAAAATAATACTTAAAAGTAATAAAAATACAATGCGTTTTTGAAAGAGATCGAGAGTTCGGGGGTTGATTATACAATAGGAAGGTATTAGCACCCAATGCATCTGCGGTATTCCGCAGGAACCTTTTGAAATATCTATTTTTTGGTTAAAATTGTTTGTTTGATTAAAATGGGTATGGATGAGATTTTTGAAGATACGACGACCTAATGTTGAAGTTTTGACTTAAAAGGTGTGAGTTTGAAAATAGAGTCTTTTGGGAAAATTATCTTGAGTTTAGCAAAATAGTAAACAAACAAAAAATGAAAAAGGGTATTCGCACGATCTGATGAGATGTATTTGATGACGTGAAGTCAACAAAGTTAAAATATTTCCCTTGGAATAAATTGAGCAAGTAAAATAAGATGAATCAGTAAAGTATAAACATTCGAAAATTCACAAGAAAACAAATCTAATGAAACAGATTAATGACCAAAAACATCGAGAAATTAAAATGACAAAGATATTTAAATAGAAGAAAAGGGAACTAATTATCTAAGTCAAAATTATAAGATTGCTTACTAAAATAATTCTAAACTAATTTGTTATCTAAAGTTATAAAGATAATTCTAAAATTGCTACGCTAGATCTAAACTAAATTAAAATTTAAATATTAGAAAATTAGATCTACTAAATAAAAATTCCAAGGTTGCTAATCTAAAACAACAAAAAAAAAGTTTCAAAGTTACTAAACTAAATCTAAATCAAATAGAATTCTAAAAGAATATTAAACTAATTCTAAACAACTAAAATTCTAAACTTATTAAACTAATTCTAAATCAAATAAAATTATAAACTCATTAAACTAATTCTAAATCAAATAAAAATTCTAAAGTCACTAAACTAAAACTAAACAAATAAAATTCTAAAGTTAACTAAATAAAATCAAATAAAATTCTAAAGTCATTAAACTAAACCTAAACAAATAAAATTCTAAAGTTAACTTAAATAAAATCAAATAAAATTCTAAAGTTATTAAACTAAAACTAAACAAATATAATTCTAAAGTTAACTTAAATAAAAAATCAAATAAAATTCTAAAAGTTATTAAACTAAACTAAAACAAACAAAATTTTAAAATTTACTAAATAAAATAAAATTCTAAAGTTATAAAATAAATCTAAACTAATTAAAGAATTCTACATTAATATTAAACTAAATTAATTATAAAATTTACTAATGTTTTTTTTATTTGTTTTTTCATACAATTTATAACAAAACATAAGTAAATTAAAATACAGGCGGTTAAAACTTGTTCCCAATATCAAAAATAAAATGAAACAACTCATATAGAGACACTTGACATGAACTATATAATAAACCAAAATAACTTAACATATAAATATGATATCAGAGAAAAACGAAATCTAGCCTTCCCTCTCACTTGTATTCTCTCACTTTTCTTGTTCATATGAAAACAACGGTCGCATATCAAACAAACAGAGGCGGAAATTTAAGAGAGAAAAAAAAACCTAATGAATAAAGCCGTGATAACAAGATGGTGCTTGTGGACCGTGGAGGAGGTCGAAGGGACGTCGAGGGTTGGTGCCGTACGGATGCAGCGGTTCCTGCTGGGGCATCGTCGGTAGTGATGTGGCAATGGTGATGGTGTAGACAGCAACGGCGGATCTGAGAGTTTTTTTTTTTCGTCAGCGGTCGCGGATCTGTGGGAGGAGGCTAGATTGGGGTTTGGATGTTTGGCCGGAAGTGGGTTAGTTCAAGTTGTTTATGGGTTACGATGGAAGATTTGAGGCGGAGGTTAGTACGCGTAGGTTATGAGAGGAAACAGTGAGGGGTTGCGGAAGTTTAAGTTTGCGAAGAAGGAGGAAGTGAGTTGCGTGAAAGCGGTATCGGATGTTCTTGCATTGAGTTTGCAGCTTGGAGTTTATGGTTGTGACAGATCGGAGCATCGTTTGAAACGGTAGTTGAAGGTTGCAAGTACAGTTGAAGTTACGAATCAGAGTGTGAATGTTACAACTTCCGATCGTAAAATCAAACATGAGAAGTTGGAAGGGATAATGTGTTCGAAGGTGATGAAAAAGAGATACAGAGGGCGTAAGGTCTGCTAGCGGAATTGGAAAGGCGAGATGAAGGGAGTTAGCGGAAGAAGGTTATTGAATGGCAGGAGGAGAGGATGAATGGAAGAGTGAGAGAGGACTTGAGGTTGCTGTTCTATTTTTTGTTGTGTGTGTGTCTTATGTCTGTGCATTGGGTAATAGATGAAAGGGTGTATGGTGGTGTCTTTTTTTGACAGAAAGTGAAGGAAGTTATATGTGGAGAGAGGATGGAAAATAAAAATAAAAAATATGTTGGGCATTGGATGTATGCAGGCGGGAGTTTTTTGATTATGGGGGGAAAGGTTGTGTGGATTGAAAAAATAGGAGGGAAATATTTTTGTGACTAAAAGCCCTTTAATGACAAAAATAAAATAAAACTTGAAAGTATAAAAAAAACTCAATTTAAAATGATTTTTTTGAATATTTTATGAATAAAAAATAAAGACACAAAATGACCGGAAACGATAAAAACCGGACGAAAATTTATCCGAAAAAATAAAATGAACATATTAAAATAATTTACATGTCACAAAGATTAAAGAAAAAATATTCAAGAAGTCAAAAATCAAAAATAAAATAATAATAAAAATATCAGACTAAACAGACGTTTAAGGTTAAAACGGACTTCAAACTATATCGAAAAATAAAGCGAGCATACCGTCGTAATCTATGCGAGACGCAGATTCATAAAATGATCGGTAAAAGGTGGAAACTTGAAATATTTTTCTCGCTAATTTTTCGTACATTATTGAATCGCTTTTAATAGTTTGTCTATAAAACCAAAATCTTTTTATTATCGACATATAAACAACTTGGAGCAATGCAACAAATGAGTAAATAGATAAAAATGCATGAAGCAAAATGTCGGGTATTTTACAACTGAAAGACGATGCAAACTTTGATTTAAACTGACTTTTCTGGTCAACTTAAATACGACTAATGATGCAAAATGTGATGAATGAAGATATTTACTAATGATAGTGACCAAATGACAAAATATGGTATGAATGTGTGACTGAAAAATTAAGGGCGAAATTAAGGGTGCAACGGTTATGCCTTGACGAATCAGTCTTGGAGAATCCACAATCAACCGTACTTCTGGCTTGGGAGACTCAAAACCTTAATTGAGGCGCGACACCTGATGCTCTTGATTCAGACCTGTCTCTGCACATGAAACAAAAGAAAACATGAACATACACCTTTGTATGCGATTAGAAATTAGGGATACATAGGCTAAAAATGTTCAAAACACTTGACAATCTTCGCATAGTCAAAGCTCGAAGGTGAGAGGTTAAAACCAACCGTATTTCGTGACCTTGGCTTATGTTTTAAAAAAAATGCGAAAATAAAAATGGGATCTTAGGTCAAAAATTGGGGTACAACAGCTGCCCCTATTTAAGTTTCTTCTATCTGAAGATATGAAGATTGGGATCTTCATTTCGACGAGATTGAAGGGACTTAAATATAGAATACACAATTTTTGGCCTTAAGATACCGCGATTATGTTCATGATATGATATGAATGTAATGCTCTGAATTTTATGGGGGAATGACGCCATATGAGACAGACTATGCTGGAGAAACCAAGCACATTATACAGTAATCCCACAGAGGAAAAGGTTGTAACACCACTGAGGAAACAAAGTCATAGTCTTCAAATGAGAGACCCTTGAATGATTTACATCAGTATTGAGACTGGAAAAGGTGATGATTTACATCAGTATTGGGACTGGAAAAGGTGATGATTTACATCAGTATTGGGACTGGAAAAGCATATGATTGACATCAGTACCGTGACTGGAAAACGATTGACATCAGCACTGTGGCTGGAGATAAACATCTCTGATTTCTGAATTTTACCAAGAACGGTAACACATTTCTTCTTTAACCGAGATATCGCTTGAAAAGGATAAAATAACAAACTTCCCCACGGGACTTTTCCGAAAGGGATGCCATTTGCTGAGTAGACATTATTGTTGGGGATACATAAGCTGCTCAAATAAAGAGTCCGCCACTTGCTTCCTTTCAAAGGTGTCAATAACATACAAGCTGCTCATGAAGAGACCGCCACTTGCTGTCTTCAAAGAATATTAAAGCACACAAGCTGCTCATGAAGAGTCCGCCACTTGTTGCCAAAAAACCCACAAGCTGCTCATAAAGCTGCCACTTGCTGTCTTCAAAGAATATCAAAGCACACAAGCTGCTCATGAAGAGTCTGTCACTTGTTGCTAATAACCCACAAGCTGCTCATGAAAAAGCTGCCACTTGTTGTCTTCAAGGGAACAATAACACACAAGTTGCTCAAATAGATAAGCTGCCACTTGCTGTCTTCCAAAAATACTAACGTACAAGCTGCTCATGAAGAAGCTGCCACTTGTCGTTTTCTGTACAAGCTGCTCATGAAGAGACCGCCACTTGCCATTTTCAAAAAGTGTTGATAACATACAAGTTGTCCATGAAGAGACTGCCGCTTGCTGTTTTTTTTTATTTTAAAAAGTGTTGATAACATACAAGTTGTCCATGAAGAGACTGCCGCTTGCTGTTTCTTTTTTAAAAAGTGTTGATAACATACAAGTTGTCCATGAAGAGACTGCCGCTTGCTGTTTCTTTACCAATAACACACAAGTTGCTCATGAAGAGACTGCCGCTCGCTGTTTCTTTTTTAAAAAGTGTTGATAACATACAAGTTGTCCATGAAGAGACTGTCGCTTGTTGTTTCTTTACCAATAACACACAAGTTGCTCATGAAGAGACCGCCGCTTGCTGTTTCCCAAAAAGATACCCATAAAATATCGTGAAGATATTGTTGGAGGTGAGAACCAATAATTTCATCGGGGATGGACAAACTGCTCACGAAGAGACCGCCATTTGTCATAAAGAAATCAGAAATAACCAAACTGCTCAAATAAAGAGTCAGTCGCTTGTTGTCATGTCGATATTCCAGAAGAAGGTTGTGATAACACTACTGGGGAATAAAGTTCATCTTCAATGGGGAACCATGAGTAAATCCTTCTTGAGGAGACCAAGTATTTGAATTGCAAAATAAATGCACTCTCCATCTAGGTTTCACAGCCTAGAGATATCCACAGGGTATCGTTCACAAGAGACAAAGCTCAATCCAAGAATAAACTGGAGAGAAAACAGTCAAACAAGACTCCACCCAATGAGGAAATAACTCAAATGGGGATTTATCCTATCCAGAGATGGAAAAGGAAAGCTAAAGCAAGATTCTTCCACGAGAGTTAACTCAGTGGGGAATTAGAAAGAAGGCACACTTTATGCTTAAGTTGACACTCTATTTAGAAAGATCAAGTATGTTATTTGAATAGACATAACCAAGGTGTACGAACTCAATGACATCAACAAATACAACTGTGCATGCATGATGCAAGTGTGAATGAATAAATGAATGTTATGTATATGCTGACAAAACAGACATGAGATATACAAGAGATGATAAGACGTCACAGTACAACTCAACACACGGCTAATCTCAACAAGATGGGAATATTACTGGAGATAGAACACAGGCCATCATTGGAGCAAAGTCCTTTTACAAGGCTTAAATCTCTGGAGAGGAAGATATTTTCAGGTAGAAAACTCAAAGTCCAGTCTTCTATTGCAAACAATCCATTGAAAGGATAACAACACAAACAAAGTTTCAGTTGGAAAGAAGTCTTGCTTAGCTAGAGATACTGGGAACACCACCCTCTGATAATGTATGAAAAACATATCTTGACAAATCTGGATTGCCCCTGGGATTAATTTTGGATGCCCCAAGTTTACTGCTGATGAGCTGCATGTTGCACGACAATTCTTGCGAATAGCTTCACTTCTAACATGCCCCAAGCTATCTGGTTGATGAGGAGAAATCATCTCAAGAGGATTTTACAAAAGACCTGGCATTCACCATGCTCTGGTGTCTTCAAACTCTTAGAGGAATTCATCAAATCTCGACGTGATTGCCCCGGATTGACTGTAGTTGGCACAACAAAGTCTTCAAATTTTGCCCCAAAAGGGTAAGCGAGTTGGGAAAGCATTAACTGGGAGAATCAACATGTTCGTGCTTACGGTCTTCAGGTGACATGCCCCTGGATATGATTTTTCTTGACGTGATCCGCCAATTACTCAACATAGTTTCAGGCCTTAAAAGAATAAACTTATCACTGGTGCTTATGTGAGCTTCCTTGATACCAAACAAATGTTTTGCAGTTAGAAAAAGTTTACAATGAGAATGAAAATTCTAATGCAACAGTTATGTAAGTCTTGAAGATTTTGAAAGATATCGCACAAATTTTGCGAGTTAAAGCACCATTTATTTTTGTATAGGAAAAACATATGATACCAACATAACTATTTAACAATCGTTCATGGGAGTCAGGAACACCATCTCATGGAAGTATGCTTTCAAAATAACCTTGCTTCAATTAGGACTTTTGAAGGTTGTAACGTGGTCTGGTTCATGGTTTTTAGAAAAAAGATTTTAAGGCTCAAAATATTTGGTGCCCACCCATTCTTCATGATGTTCTCCAACCCTATGTTCAGTTAATTCAACATGAGTGTTCATCTCTCAAAAGGATTTTGTGACGGTCAAGGGAACGACGAGGCTTTCAGAGTAGAAACCACCCTCATGTCTTCGTGTTTGTAGTCACCAATTTGTTCTTTGTTGAGGACTTTTCTTTGCAGTCCTTTTCTTTTCGATTTTATTTTCCCTAACTTTTGCCTGAACTAATTCTTTTGAATTGATAGTCCAGCGAGATGCCTTAATTTTGCCTAAGTCACATGTTTTCGTGTTTTTTGACTTAGCAGGCTTTTTCTTTTTCTCGATTTTTGACTTTTTGAACAAAATGTGTGACATTAGCTTATAT